CTAAACCTTGTTCAGATTCTAATGCTACCTCAAATGCTGCCTCACCTTCCAGAGATAAACCAATCATAGTTAGAGGAGTGCTTATTATCTTATTTTTAATAAGATCAATCTTATTTGTAAAGAATCCCATAAAATCATTACTGTTAAGAGCAGGTGGGATGGAAGGTTCAACACAGCTATAGCTCTCTTTGGCAACTGTATTAAAAAGAAATCTAGGATTATTCTTATTATTATCTTATTAATGAGGAGAAATATGCTGCTATTGCTTTACAATGGGTACTCTTACACAGCAGTAAACTTTTTACCAGACTAGGTAGGATTCCGTAGACATGTGGAGTTTCCTAGCATTTTGCGTCAGAGTGCACGGCTCTGCATTTAACAAGGGACCTAGTTATCTATTTTTAAAGTCTTTTTTTTTCAAAGGGACTGCATTGTCTAAGGCAGTACGCTGATAATTAGCAACCCCATCACAAAATCATCAACCTGTGAAGGGGAATAAACTAAACCTTTGCTCTCTGCAGCACTGCTCAGCGACACGGAGGAGAGAGAAGATGAAACTGATTCTTTGAAATTTATAACTGCACTATCTGATAAGGATCTGCTAAAGTGAAACCTTCTTTTGGGGGAAGAGAACTATGTTAAAGTAATCCTGAAAGTTATTAAAAAGTGGTCAGAGAGGACAGGGTTGTGAGGATATAGGTTATTTCTTCACATTCTATGCCATATGCCAGCCCAAGGTCCAAAGTACAACGATGAGAATGTGTGGGACTATTCACATTTTGAACAAAGTCAATAGCGTCTAAGATAGCATTAAAGGCTGCACTTTAGCTATCACCTTCAATGTGAGCATGGTTGTTAAAATCGTCCACTATGATGACCCTGTCATTATTTAACACCAAATCAGATAGGAACTCATAAAACTAATCTACTTCTGTCTTAGGCTGCACTCTGGACTCAGTGGAGGAAGTGGCTGTGAGGAGGGTGCTGTCCAAGCTTACATCCATCATGGAAAACACCTTTCAACCCCTGCACCAGATTGTAGAGGAGCTGAGCAGCTCCTTTTGTGAAAGAATCTTACACCCTGTTTGTAAAAAGAAGCACTACCACATGTCATTCATGCCTGCTGCCATCAGACTCCATAATGCAACACTAAAACAGTAATAACTTGTGCAATGTATGATGTGCAATTACTATTCAATACCCTGTGCAATAACCTGTTGTTTTTTTTTTTACATTTGATACCCAATGCAATAGCTACAAATATAAATACCCAAGTTAATACATTGCGCAATAACCCTGTATAATAATCCTGCTAAATAAGAGACCTTAGCTGTCCTATATATATGTGAACACACCGTATATACTGCATATACCCCATGCACCTTTTCTTCCTTTTGGAACCTTCTTCTTCTTTTTGACTATTGAACCGATGTAACAAGTACATTTCGCCACTCTGAGATCAATAAAGTCAATCAATCAATCAATCAATCAATACAAAGTGGAATTTCTTTGAAGACTTTTTTTTTTAATAGCAAATGCAAGAAAACATAATGCAAAATTAATTTAAATATTTCAGATGTTTCTCACTTTTATATTTTAAGACCAGCTACAAAAAAAGCTGATTGCCTAAACTTGACCAATGTCTGAGTAAAAACTGTATTGTTTTCTCTTACACAGGGAGTGTGATAAACAAGTCAGGATCAAGATACACCCATCTACCAATAAACAACAAAATTTCTTCAAGGATATTATGATAAAAGCCATATCAAAGCCAGTTTATTTTATAAATACACTTGTCCATGCTTTACTGGTCTGGTTTTTTTTGACTGATGCATCTTATATAGACAAAAAAGACTCACTCTTTCAATACAGGGATTACTGGCATTTCTTTTTAAATGTCAGGTGCTCACTTTGTGCATTAAAGGCTGTGACTGAATAAAATGTAATCAAATTCCTGCCTGTATTTAATCAGTTGTCAAATAAAATAGCTTAGCCATATAGGTTAGCATAGCTTTCCTGATAGTAACAACGTGAAATGTTGAAGCTGTCGGGTTTGATATATCAGACTTGCACACTCCTCACTAGCAAGGCCTGCAGCAAACCAGATAGTGCACTATCTAATCTGTAGACTTTTACTAACTCAGTGTCTCTGCGTGTTGGAAGCTCATATCGTTTCGCTCTTTGTCCTACGACCATTTCCTCCTTTTCTCAAGAAACACCTGAATATATCAAAGGTCCACCTAGTTGGCCTCTACAGATTCTAAATTTAAGACTATTTAAAATGCTAAAAGGGCTTTTGATGAGTTTCAGACTTACCCTTACACTATTACAGATTTTGAAAAAAATATCTGTTGCTCCAACCTATACCTTAGTTTGACCTAAGGTATAGTTTTATATAACATTTATGACAAAATGTAGAAAAATGTACACATCTATCAGTTTATGCTATGCCTCTGTAAGCTCATTGAATTGCTCATTGTCTTATGCAATGTTAGGATAATTATCATTGAAGATGTGTGAGTTTATCACACCCTGTTATGGGCTACCTGTTGCGCGTAAGAACTGATGTTTTAATCTAATTAGGACAATTCCTCTGTCTGGATATCTGGATACAGTTATCTTCATTTTGTACATGGCAAAAATTTGGAAATGGAATGACAGCAGTGTCCTATTTTGATAAGGCTGGAGCCATGGATGTCTAATCATCTGCTAATGTGTATGATGTAAAATATGATGATGTGGCAGATTGGAGATGTATAAAATGTCTTTTTAACTGTTAATTGGGGCCACTTCCTGAGAGCTGAGCCCAGAGGTGAAAAGCTGCCATTCTGTAACCCTAAGCAATTTCTCTGATTAGAGTAGGATTACAATTTCTATCAAAATCTGTTGTCATGTCTCCTGGTTATTTAATACATATGTTATGAAGTGTTATTTAAAGAGTTTGTACCGATTGATCTCTTTTCAGGGAAAAGAACCATAGAGATAGAGCATCAGGGTGCATTCAAAGAGCCTATTTTTAACAGCTATTAATGTATAATAGCTACTGATTAATGAACAGCAAAAATCAAAACGGAAATAAAGCTTAAAGGAATAGCTCCCTAATAATTTATAAAGTGAGATTTTTCACAACATTGGCAATATCTAGAAAATAAGGAATTAACTCATTTGTATTTTAAAAATTCTTAAACATACCATATAAGTGGGCTAAGTAAAAAATACACATAACCTCCTTTAATTAGCTTTCTGTGTCAACAATGGGTGGTGAGGTTGCTTGAGGACCCAGATGCAGAGACGAGTGAAGCTGAGACGAGTTCTGACAGATTTAATTGAAGAACACGGGAAACTGAGGTAGCAATCCAGAAATCCAACTAAAATTTTAAACAAACCAAAAACCATGGAGACATCAGGGGAAAACAAGCCTGAGGAGCCAGAAAGAGACGAGCTGAGAAGACAAATTCAGCAATGATAAGGAACCAGCACTGAGTGACTGCAGTGGTGGAGTATTTGAGTAGAACAGAACAAAGGATGGACTAATGAGCTGAATAAGGAGCAGGTTATGGTGGAACTGGCCAAGGGGAAAGAAAACAAGCACAAGGGGGCAACAGAGAGTAACTAAAGAATGCTTGAATATGATGGGAAATCAAGTCAAAACAACTAATAACAGAAAACTGAAAACTCAGTCACAACAAATGGGAAGAACCATAACATTCTGTCATTCCAGTTCAGTTCTTGTATTTATATAAATACTTTTCACAACATGTCATCACCAGGTACTTAAGAAAAACAGTACAATCAAATCTGATAGATTGTACAATAGTTTTTATCTAAGGAAAACCAGCTGATTGCATCCATCACTGACTTGCAGGCTCCACATAGATGAGCATGTAGGGACAGTAGATATTTCAATGTTTCAGCTTACAGCAGGGGTCTTCAACATTTTCCAGGCCAAGGACCCCCGAACTGATGGTGAGATGTAGCGCTGTTTGAAATTGTGTTAAATCAAACTGGTCCTTTAGTCACCGTATTACAGATGGGGTAATGTAAAGAAAGTAATTTCTCTCTGGGATTATTAAAGTATTTCTGATTCTGATTCCTCTTTGATGGGACAGGTGTTGTGAATGAAACGGTGCCCAGCTTGAAAGAGCTGTGTCGCCGAATGTTTGCATTGATGACTGAAAGACATCTTCTGCCTCCATTTATCTGTTTACTACAGTGTGTTGAATTCATGTTAAAGGAATAGTACACCCAAAACA